TATTTTTATTTTATTTATTTACTTTGATAATTATTATTTTATAAAAATTGAAAAATACCTCAAAATTAAAGTATGTGGTAACCATATTTATATGGAAGTTTGTGGGGTGCCTAACACCTTCCCCACGCTTAACTGACCCTTCGAACCTAGTCAATTTCTACGAAGACTTGGTGATCTATCTCACCTCATTTGGATAGATGGCCACTCCATCCATTTTGGCACGTCAACAACCGGCACAGATAAATTAATTGGGATCACCATCTCTAAAACAAAATAGTGAATTGGATTAAAGAATCAATCAATCTTAGGTAAGAAAATGTGGCGCTGAGTGTTCCTTACTAGTTCTACGACTTACCTCTGGTTCAGAATTTTAGAGGTGAGGCAGAATGAATCAAAGTCTGGCTTCCATCTGATTCCCAAAGTCCGTACTTAGAACTTTTCACTTTGAATCAATAACTGAAAAGCCATTTTATGATACAATAAGCATAATTCAAGAGTAATGAAATGCATACAATGCTTGGGAATTGTTGCCCATATTATGTAATGGTTAAAACCAATATGAAGCAAAGAATTAGTTGAATAGTATACCTCATTTGCCACTTTTTCTGGTTAAGGGACTATTTAAACCTGCTTCAGGGATGCGATCGAATGCAACAGTGATTGAGAAATCCTGTTCATTATAGCAGCACAAGAGTTGAGGAAATCACACAATTAGAAACATTAAAATCCACAATGAAATAACCCAAAGTTTGCAGTTGCAATAACCTTTAACAGGTAAATTGCACCTTGCTTGCCAAAGCAAAGGAGATCCTATTCAGCTCTTATTTGGTTTCAATATAACTACATCATGTATTGGTCAGTTTGTGAAAGGAATGGAAGAAGAGGAAGGAAAGATATTTGGTTAGTGGAGAAAAAATGCAACTGAATATAGCACAGTACAGTCTTTAATACCTGTGTAGTATATGGGTAATGCAATAATTCCAGTATCAGAACCTTGGACTCCACTTTGAGTAAGTCTCTTTCCATGTGAAATATCAATCTCAGCTTCACCTTCATTGATTTTTCTGTCTTATTCATCCTTCTTTTATTCTATTTCACATCTGAAGCAGATCTATCATGACCCTTATACAGATTGACAACCTTAACCCAGTAAGTCTTAATAAAATTTGATTACAGAATCAAAGTTTATTGCGTTCATGCTTGTCAAGAAGATATGACAACATATGTGAATCAAAGTTGACTGGCATAAGATTCATAAGGTCTATATTCTATGGCACTAAAACCATAAAAAATGTAAGAGCACCCACCACTACTCATTGAAACTCAAGCAGTGTTTTCCCCATCAACCCTGTCTACTTTGAAAACCAAACGCAAAACAAATTATAAGATAACTGAGTGATTCAATGTTCTATTATGGTAGCAAACATGAGGAAAAAAAAAAAAGAGTTTACAGTACAGTAACTAATATATGAAATCATGCTTATTTATAATTTTGCAGACAATTTTTTCCTTCAAAACCATGCATGTAATTCATACAATATACAACCTGAACATCGAGACACTTCAAATTCAGAATAGTGAAGCCCCTCTTCTGAGCATTATCCAAATTTCTTGATTTCTTGATGCACATGAAGAAATAGAGGCTGATATCTCAGCTTCCTACACAACAAAAAAACAAAATGTTGCAAATAAGCAGCATTGCAGAAAACATGTAGGCAGTGGTTTTAAATGCTTGTATGCTCCATGGATGATTAGGCATGATAAAAGTGCACCTAGGCATGGTTAGGCACAATTAAGCATGCCATTAGGCACTAGGCTAATCAGGCATTTTGAAGTGAAACTTTGTCGCCCATAAAAAGAATCACAAAAAATCCAGCAACAAAATAGTAACTAACCTGCTAATAAATTTTACTACAGTTACTCTATATTATACATGCATGTATTCTAATCCTTGAACTTAAACTTGTTTCCTTCTCTCTCTCTCTCTCTCTCTCTCTCTCTCTTTAACATCATTCTTCTGACTTTTTATTTTTTTAAAAGAAATCCACTTTTTCTTATTTTTTGATATTTTATTAAAAAAAGAAAAATGCTAGCCTCACCGTTGTGTCATTTTGCAGTTCATTACTAAGCAATCACCTGGAAAGCATTACCCTTTAAACAAAATCAACCAATATGTGCATTTTCATTCATGAAAATTCTTCAACTTTTTGGTACCTAATGATTGGGAAGACGATTTACAGAGACACCCATTTCTCGATTGGCGATAAATATTAATGAAAACCTAGACCCAATAGCAACCGAAAGTGAGATAGAGTTCGAAAAATCGAAACAGAGAATTTAGATGGGAAGAAAAAAAACCTTCTCCAAATCGATTAAAGGAGTCATATTGGAGATGAACTGTTGCAAAGTCACAGCAGTCGATTTCTTCTTCGTCTTGTCTCCCACCATAGCCATTACTGCTTCGCTTCTGTTGCTGCTTTTTAGAGAAGGAATAAGCGAACTTCCCTCTTTTAAGAGGTTTACTAAAATGCGTAAATTATTACTCTAGTCCTCAACTTTTGACCTTGGCTTGTAAAGTTTCCCTCAAATTTTAAAACCAATCCACCTTCACCTTGACAAGTTTTTGATTACTTTACAGTATTTTGTTTGGTCTGAAAGACACTAGAAGAGAGGAAGAAAAGTAACTATAATCAATCAAATTATTTCCTTGGCTAGTCTAACAGCTTAATTTCATTGATTGAAAGAAAATCACCTCCTTTCCCAGTTTCCCTTTCTTTCACCTTTCCTTCAAACAAAACAGAGTCTTAATGGTGTATCAATAGTCAATTTTTATAATTCAATCAAATAATAGTCACTCTTTTAACTAGCTTCTCTTGACATCTACTTCAATTACGAACCTTATTTCTTATGATGCTCAAAAGTTAACCTAAATCTGTAACTTTTGATACACTAAAATCTAGACAATTTACAATTTCTGTTGTATATCAACATTCAAACGTCAAATGCAATTATCAAAATAAGTATCCTTTCTTATCAACCAAAAATAACTTCATTTAAAGAGAGTATAAAGTGGTAATCCAATCCATACAACACATTGCTTGTAAAAACTCATCAAGCCACTACAAAGACATCATCACCTAAGTTCAAAAAATAATAAAACAAGGATGATCGGGATGCCTAGCACCATATTTTCTGCTGACTTTCTAGATAAATAACAACAAATAAAAATTAATCTTTATAAGAACATCCTACTACCCATTTTCCTGAGCTCCTGAATATAGATGTAGCAAATTAGGCAATAAACTGAAATGCCCTGAGTTGGGGACAGAATCTTATTCCTTCAAGTTCTTTACGTATTCATTACAGTATGCAGAGCTACTCAGATACTAGCCATGCTCCTCAAAGTACTCCATGAATTGCTTTAAGAATCATCTGTCACTTATTGTTTCGGAACGCAGACAAGGCAACACTATCTTCTTGCTCGAGTCACAATCACATTCATTCGCCTGCAGTCACTTGAAAACCCCACCTAAACGTATTTAAAATGACACAATTTTATTTTCAATATAGAATCCACCAAAGGAAAAAATAGTTAGAATTGTAGCGTAGAGTACCTCTTTGGTAGAGTTTGATCAAACCAGTGAAATCATAGTGGCTTCCTTGTCTCGACCTTGGACACCCACCAACAGTTGAGATCTTTACATCCTTTTAGCCAGTCCTCATTGCTTCTCAACATCTTTAGTTAGACAACCTGAAATATATTTGGAATTTTAAAAAACAAAACATCATATATTGGTCAGATTGCAAAACAAATGGGAGTAGAGGAAGGATAAATATCTAGCTAGTATTTTGGTCCTCACTTTATTAAGCAAGTTACAAAGCATATAAACTAGACAATTAACTAGAGCACAGTTCACTGTTTGGTACCTGGGCAGCATGTAGGGTAATGTAATAGTTACAATGGACTCCACTTTAAGTATAGTCTCTTTGTATGTGAAAAATCAATCTCAGCTTCACCTTCATTTAGTGCGTTGTCTTCATCTTTCTTTTAATCCATGTCATATCTGAAGTAGATCAATCATGTATCTTCCACAAATTTAAGAGCTTCAATCAGTAAGTCCTAATAAAATTTGATTACAGAATCAATGTCAAGTCAGGAAGTATGGTTCTCATTCTTCAGAATTATGCTAGTTTTATTACATTCATGCTTGTTAAGAATCAAAGTTTAACTTGTTTAAGATTCACAAGCTCCACAATCTGAACTTTTGTACAAAACAGAACAATCTCACTTAAACACATTAATAGAAGGGAATTATTGTCTAGCTCACGTTATAATGAAAGCCAATATGCTAACAATACACAAAGAAAAGTATAACTATTGCACCAAAACCAGCAAAAATGTTAGAGCTCCAAACTATTTATTTGAGTCCTCACGTGAGCAGGAAGAACATCTCTCTATGTTTTCCCCATTAGCCCTATCTACTTTGAAACCAAACTCAAAATAAATTATAAGATAGCTGAGAGATTCATTCCATTGTGGTAGCAAACAGAAAAATGGAAAACAGCTTTAGAAAGTAGAAACTAACAATAGCAATCATTAAGAGAATTTCCTATTGTTCAACTTGTCTTAAAAAATGAGGGCTAACCCGTGCATTGAGTGGACTTTCCAAAACTAGATGTAGCAAACGTGCAGGATAACCATTGTTGCATTGGGAAACATATCATTATGCACCTAAGGCTGAGAGTGATCAAGGATGGAGTAGAAAGGGGTGAATGTAACATCTTTCTTTGACAATGTTGGAGGTCTATCACCAAACAAGACAACAACGAGAACTGAAGTAGGTTCCTTTAGTACACCCTTAATCATCTGTATCAATGCATCCTTCATCCTATGATATGTCATCTGCACAGGCAAATCAATCTGGATTATTTTTCTTATAAGCCAGAAGTGAATTTGATTAGAGAATCAAATCTTGGCCACTTAGGTAAGAAAGTGTGGCACTGAGCCTTCTATCCTAGTTAAATGACTATGATCTCATTCAGGCTCGTAAAGATGTGAAAATATGAATCAAAGTCTGATTTGTATATAATTCCTAAGGTCTACACTAAGAACTTTTCAGAGAATAAAGAACTGAAAAGTCATTCTTAGCTCCCAATGTTTCCCTAAATCATTCCATCTTGTACTTTGAACAAGAAGCAATTACACAACAGGAGAATAAGAAGAAGAAAGAACAAAGAACAAAGAAGAAGAGAATCAATGAATTCGTGAGTTGATTGTTGTGGGTTGGAATTCCTGCTTTCTCTCCAACTAATTCATCCAAGATTAGATTGAAAACACATATTTATGTTTGTACATGGTACAACCAAGATATATAACAGCAGCAAAATACATAAGAATTCATATGGGATTTTAAATCAGTTTTCAACACAATTAATTTACAAAGAGTATGAAAACACAAGAGTCACACTAAAACAATCCACACAAGGGTAGTAGAAAGGACATCCTTCGAAGCCCGGAACGAAAAGCAACAGACTGGCTGAATAAACGGGCTTCCTGATCCAATGAAAAAATTAAAGGAAAAATTCAGTACTTGAAAATCATTGGGAAGGGAAATTAAGCACTACTATATATTTTTAACAATAATCAAGGAATTTATTTATGCATTTTCATCCACTAAAATTTTTTCCAATTTGTAGGGAATGAATGCCAAAACAAAGATTTGCAGAGAGTCACAGCTAAATTAAAATACGCAAATTGATCCCTCACCTTTCAATCTTCTGGATAATCTTCCAATTCCAACTGTTCCGACTCTGATTATGGAAACGAGAAAATATCAGGACATAAACGAAACCTTGGGTTGAAGGACATGCTTTGCATTGGGATGGTCCCACTCCAACGATTCCCACCATTCCTCTTCTCGTCGACGCATGTTGATTGTTTTGAGGGAAGGAGGAGGAGATGGTTGGGCGTTATCAACTAGGGGAAGAGAAAGAGGGATCCTCCTTAGGCCCTTGCAATCCGTAATTAGAATCCTTTCAAGAGAATCACATATCATTACTGCCCTCCTGCTACAGATGCTCTTCAATGCGGGCAACTGCGACAAAATCAGATATTTTAATTTTGGAAGAATGAGCTTCTTGATGATGTCCCCTCCTTCTTCTCCTTCTTCTTCTGGATCTGATCCTATTATTTCTTCCATTTCTTCACAACGGTAGACTTCAATCCTTTCTAGACTTTGGAGATATTCCACCAACTTCCAAGATGGAAACAACTTATTTCCTCCGCATTTCTGAATATTAAGAGTTTTAAGAGATGAAAAAGTGCTAGGCTGAGGTGGTGACATGGCAATGAATTCTACTTCAAACACCCAATCCAAGTTGTCCAACTCCTTAAGAGATAAACCAGGAGGGAGACGAAAAGAAATCCTTCTTAGGGCTTTGCAATTGGTAATACTAATATTTTCAAGAGAATCAGATACCATTACTGCCCTCCGGCCACAGATGCTCTTCAATGAAGGCAAATTATACAAATACAGACTTTTGAATTTTGGAAGAATGAGCTCCTTGATGATGTTCCCTCCTTCCTCTCCTCCTTCTTCTGGATCTGATGCTATTATTTCTTCCATTTCTTCACACTCTCGGACATTAATCTCCTCTAGATTTTGGAGATATTCCACCAACTTCCAAGATGGAAACAACTTCTTTAATTTTTTGCATTCCTTAATCATAACATTTTTAAGAAATGAAAAAGAGCGAGGCTGAGGTGGTGACATGGCTATCAATTCTCCTTCAAACAGCCAATCCAAGTTGTCCAACCCATCAACAGATAGATAAGGAGGGAGATGAAAGGGAATCCTCACCTTGCAATCACTAATGGAAAGAGATTTAAGAGAATCACATACCATTACTGCCCTCCTGCTACAAATGCTCTTCAATGCAGGCAAGTGCCACAATTTTAATTCTTTTAATTTTGGAAGAATGAGCTCCTTGATGATGTCCCCTCCTTCCCCTTCTTCTTCTGGATCTGATGCTATTATTTCTTCCATTTCTTCACAATATCTGACATCAATCTCCTCTAGATTTTGGAGATATTCCACCAACTTCCAAGATGGAAACAACTTCTTTACTCTTCTGCATTTCTGAATTTTAATTTTTTTAAGAGATAAAAAAGTGCAAGGCTGAGGTGGTGACATGGCAATCAATTCTACTTCAAACATCCAATCCAAGTTGTCCAACCCATCAAGAGATAGATGAGGAAAGAGACGAAAAGGAATCCTCCTTAGCCCCTTGCAATCAGTAATTTCAATATCTTCAAGAGAATTAGATACCATTACTGCCCTCCTGCTACAGATGCTCTTCAGTGCAGGCAACTGCGACAATCTCACAGATTTTAATTTTGGAAGAATGAGCTCGTTGATGATGTCCTTTCCTTCTTCTCCTCTTTCTTCTTCTCCTCCTCCTTCTGAATCTGATGCTATTATTTCTTCCATTTCTTCACATTTGTCAACCCAGATTCTTTCAAGACTTTGGAGATATTCCACCAACTTCCAAGATGGAAATAACTTCTTTAATTTTTTGCATGAAAAAACATGAACTACTTTAAGAAGTGAAAAAGTTCCAGGTGGAGGTGATGACCTCGCAATGATGTCTGCTTCAAATAGCCCATCCAATTTGTCCAACCGCTGAAGATCCAGATGCTCAATGGTTTGTACCACTGGGTTGTGTACCCACGAGGGAAAAATGCACTCCATGCCATTACAAAAATAAATCAAACATTCCTTCAAATCTGTAGCATCATCGATTGTAGAAAAATCATTTAAGCTTCTTATGTCGTGGCAAGCTTCAATACATAATACTTGTACGGAGGGAAGTAACATATTCTCTCCAACAATACTAGTCTCCTCGAACACCATTATTTTCTTATATCCTCGTAACTCTGCTGTAACAGTAAAAGTCACATTCGAATTGCTTCCAACATTAATAAAATAGTCACTCAGCCTATTAGGCTGACATTTGAGAAAGATTCTCATTTCATTCGCAGTGGGGAACCAGCCATGAAAAACTTCCAACTTCTTCAATCTCCCAACCACGTTCCCCTTCAATTTTATTCTGCTCTTATCTACAATTAACTCTTGAAGTTTGGAGAGATTTGATAATTCTCCATCTGCTATTTCATCTATTTCAAGAATATCGGAAGGATTTGATCCACAAAGAAAAAGACATTTCAAATTCTTCAACATTCCCAGGCCTTCAGGGACTTCTTTGATTTTTGTCCCCCTAAGGTTTAACTTTTTCAAGGATCCAAGGCCTGATAAAGATGGTACCTTTTCTAGGGATGTTGATTCTAACAACAATGTAGTAAGCTTCACCAATTTGGAGATGGAATTTGGCAAGCTACTTAGCTCCCAATTGAAGGACAGATCTAGAATCTTTAGCTCTGGCATGTGCTCAAAGACAGATTCTGGAATTGTTGACAATTTGTTATGGGCCAGCAGCAAGGTTGTGAGCCTTGTGCATGTTGAAAATGCCAAGCTCGATGGAATTTCTTCAATATAATTATGCATTAATGAAACCTTTTCAACACCTTCTGCACAATTTACCCTCTCTGGTAACTCTTTCAATGCCTTGCCAGCTTCTACCAAGAACCGAGGCCTCATTCTTGCAATGTCTAAGGCCATGTCCCTAATAAGATCATGCATCCTCACACAATCTCCTGTATATTCATCTTCAATGAATTCTAACAAGCTACTGTCAACAAGCTTCTTCCAAATACCATAACCCTCACCCCTCATTAATTGTCGAGATTCCATTTCATCTATAAACCCCTCGTCAATCCAGCTTTCAATTATTTCCTCCTTCAGAATCTCGTGATCCTCAGGATACAGTGCACAATATAAGAAACAATATTGGATCTGTTGGTTTTCCAAACGATCATAACTGAACCTTAATATCTGAAATGCATCAGCATATGTACCTGCTACATTTCTTTTGTATTTTCTCAATTGATTCAGTGCAAGACTCCACAACTGTGAATCAGATATTCCTTTTAAGCTACCAGCAACTGTAATGAGTGCCAATGGAAGACCATCACATTCATCCACAATCTCCTTCAAAGTTGATTCTAAATCCCTTTTAATGCCTCCTCCATGATCTGATAAGACAGTATCTCCAACTTCATTTAAGAACAATTTTAAAGCTTCCTCTTTTAAAAGATTCTTCACTTGGATTATTCTACAATCCATTGAACAAGCAACATCTTGTAACCGTGTAGTCAATACTAACTTGCAGCCATTAGTTACATTTGGCTTAGGAATTCCGACATCTTCAAGTCTGAAACTGCTCCACACATCATCAAGAATCAGCAAGTGAGGCTTTTGTTCTTCTAGCATCTTTGACAACACTCCTGCACGACTAGTTGCATTTTGAAGCTTTTCCAACTTTCCCTTCAAGCTGCATGCAATTTGTTCTTGCAATATGGGGATATCAAAGTTTTGTGACACAGTTACCCAAATTATTTTCTTGAATTTACCTTCTTTTAGAAGTTCATTATGGACATGCTTCATTATTGTTGTTTTCCCGACTCCCCCCATCCCCCAAACTCCAAGCATTGTCACCTCTTCTCCCTTCAAGCATGCCAAAATATTTGCTTTAACAGCCTCACTGCCTTGTAACTCTGATGTTGTCAATTCAACTACCGAAGCTGATGGATCATCA